GTTTATCTCCTATGGGCTACAAGCGATACCTATTTTGCTTTTTTCACGTAAAATCCCGCCTAATATGTTAGCAAGATCGACCCGCATTTACGCTGCGTGATAACGGCTTTTCCAATAAATGTGCCGCATAATATGCGGATCTCTAGGTATTGAAGGCCATTTGATGATCCGGAGAACAAACATATTAATTGCCCTACTCTACAAAGGGGAACAAATCCATAGTGTATTGTGCTGCCGACTACACCGCAACATAAGGAAAGTGCCTGCATGCAGCAACGATAGTTTTACTACACCAGACTGAGAAAGTGCCCCATTAATCTAACTTTGATAAACCTAACTCACAATACACCTTCTTACGTTTCTCTTAATAACCCAGTGTTTGCGGTAGCTCGTACATTAGAGAAACGGAGAAGACGCGGTCAACTTATCTCATGGGAGCTGCTTAACGCAGATTAACAGCCAGTGCTCCTAAGCTTCAACACAGCTCAATCGCCCAGTGTCTGCCTGCCTGTGCCTTGTGCCATAGAGCTCCTGACCACACAGGTTTATCGGCTGACAGCATGCATTGATTTACTGATGGTCCCGCTATCGGGCTACTAGAGCCAAACAGTTCCAATTAGCGCACAATTGTGAACATTCTCGTCTTGCCTCAGTAAGGTTTAAGTCACTACAATACAGGCCACGCATGACCTTGACTGCTTCACTATACTACGCAGTTTTCCTTGCAGAAAGCTTGGTAGATGAACAGTTAGTATGTTTCTGGTGATACACAACGTTTCGCTTTTGACACAAAAGCTTCATCAGGCGAAGTGAATTAGCTAAGCAATTGCTTTTTATAATGATCATGGCTAAGCTATATACAGTGATTAATCAATTTGCATTTCATCAATGAAAGATTACAAGAATCAAGTGTCCCTAGGCTCGTGTGTACACTGTAGTTTTTTCAGCCACGGTCAAAGGAGGAAAAGCAATTTCTGCTCCGCGGACACTTATATGTGTGGTCAGCAATCTTAAGGCGAACTTAGTCACTGATATAACTTGGCTTTAATATTTCGGAATTTGGTGGAGGGTCGATAGTCCATTCCGATTTGGGATCCATCCACCGATGCTTATTAACCCGATCGAAGTAAGACTGGACGCCAGGCACTAAACAGCCCCCCTCCGTCTAGCCTATTCACGTAGTTGTTAGCCTTGGTTTTATCTATAGCCTCAGTAATCAGCCGTTGTTTGGTTGATCGTAATCCCTTCCTGATAACCTCCACATTTTTGAAGTCAATTTCGTGCCTCGTGTCTAGCTCAGGCATTGCTATTGTCGGGTCTCTGAGTAGAGCTCCTACTCTAGTTCATTGCGCGGAGATTGTGATATGTGTCGCCTATGTTCTGAAATCATTGTACGTAATTCCCTCGAGGTTTGGCCTATATACACTTGCGTACAATCTTTACATGGCATTTTGTCAATGCAGTTATTTGTTCAATTTAATGGGAGTGGATCCTTCAGATTCACAAGTGTGGACCGCAGCGTGTGACCTTCCTGGAAAACTACCCTTAACTTCTCCTTTATTCAGTACTCACTGAATCGCTTCCGAAGTTTTTTTTACGGAATACCCACTGTCGCTATCCACTCTGTGGTTTGCGTTGCGCGTGGGTTGAGACGTTTTTGTAGCTGTCGTTTGACCAATAGTTTCGGATATCCGCTAGCTATTAAATTTTTCGTCGCCGCCCTCTGCGCTGCTTTCTTATCTAATTGTTCCGTGTACAAAGCACTTACTCTGTGAAACAGTGATGAGGCGATTCCCGCGTACACGTGCTTCGGTTGGCTTGAACAATAGTTAAGTCCCACAACTCTGTCCATTGATTTGCGATACATTGTCGTTTTAAACGTTCCTTCATTCCTATGGACCAGACAATCGAAGAAAGGAAATGTACCGCTCTGCGACCCAATTTCTATGGTAAACTTTATCGCATTGTCGATGGAGTTCAAATATTTTCTCAATTCCTCTTTTATAACTCTTTTTATAATCGCAAATGTGTTATCCATGTAAAGCCACCATACTTTCTGGGCACCACGGAAATTTGATAATACCTTATATTCAAACTTTTCCATGTACATATTGGCTAATACGGGAAGATTGGAGATCCCATGATTTGGCCCTTTTCTTGAGTGTGCATTCTAGACTGGAATGTGAAATAACTCATGTCGAGGCACAAAGCTATCCCCTCGACCAGTTGATCCACACTCATTTTGGTTCTGTCCTCTAAGCCGTTTTCCCCTATATAGCAGCTTTTCGCTAAGCGTTACGCCTCCTTGGGTACATACGTGAACAAGTAGATAACATCGAAGGTGACCATCAATTGGTCTCGTTCGATGCCCAACCCTCGCACCATTCGTGCAAACTCATAAGAGTATTTGGTAAATGTGCTCATTCTTCCCGTTGGCGCTTGCAGCAGGCTCTCCAGATATCACGCGACTTCGAGTATGGGAGAGCCTATGCCATTCACTATAGATCGCAAGGGGAAGTTAGGCTTGCATATCTTTGGCAGACCGTAAATTCTAGGAGGAATAGCCGACTTTGGATAAATACTGCATCATTTGACCTTTCCTAAACCATCCTTTGCACCCCTTAGGTAGCTACCGACATCGTATTTCGTCTTATTCAATAACGATGTAGTGGTTTTCTGCTCAACCAGTTTGTATGGTCCCGTACCCAAAGGTTCTTTCATCTTTTCTAAATGATCTGTTTTATTCGCTGCCACTGTTACTTTATATTTATCCGCTATTGTAATGACAACACTAGTATTCTCTTTCAGTGTCTTTAACGCTTTGTGTTCAGATGGAGCATAATTCGATTCTACCGGATGTAGAAATCTAATTATATTTGCTAATTAGGCGCGGATAGCCTCTGGCTTTCCAAGTGTTAATCTAGTCATTACAGGTTCAACTCCAGGGATTACATCTGCTGTCCTTATTTTAGTTTTACTGATAGTAAAATTCAGACCTTTTTCTAAAACGCTACGATCTGTTACACTTAACGCTCTATCTGAGATGTTTACAAATCTGCAATAGATGCTATTAGATATATGTTTATCAGTATGAATATCGACCTTGTTACGTGCAGTCATTAAATTTTCGAACTTTTGTATTTGTCTTTCCTTCGACTCCCATCCTCTTGTTGCCTTAACTTCGGAGGCCTTATTGCAAAGTCAGTCATAATAAGTCTGTGCCTCCGCAGTCCGTAAATCCAAGCGCAGCTGAGTCTCATATAGGCGGATTTCACCCAGACGTCTAGTTGTTGGGTAGATTCGTTGTCTCAGAAATGATTTCCTGCTCTGAGTGCCATTCGTGCCGTGTAAGAAGAATCCGGAGGTTTAACTGTGAGGGGTTTGGGAATAAGGTTGTTTTTGAGACACCTGATTTTAAAAATCCGACGATTTTCCCAATTGGCTTCGATGCCTGCTAGGCTCACAACTTCACTTGCTAATTTGCGAACACGAGGTCCGTATCTGTACTCAATATGTTGGAACATATTTGCAAACGGTCGGGAACTTGTGTATAAGCATAAATATATTAACTGGTCGTCTACAAAGTTTTCTGAAAGGATGAGTTTCCGATCGGTTCCAAATATGTTTCAAGTTATTTACTACTGAGTTCTTTGTCGGTCCTTTTTGTTTATATTTATTTGCTCCTTTCAATGATTTTATGAACGCGGGTGTTTTCGTATAAATCACATTTGTGCCATCCAGACCAATTTTGCAATTTTTATATTTATCCTTTAGCTTTACCAAATCTACCCAAATACATCATTGGCGGAGAGTTTTCTACATTGTTATCACTTTTTCGTCACCTCTCAAAGTTTCATACTTTGCGATGCTGTATTTTAATGCCCCGGATCGATCCCACACAAGGAACCTGACTGTATCACCCTTTCATCCGCTACTTGGGTCGTTCGGATTAACACAAAACCTGTAAGATGCTTTCTGACGATCTGTGACTGTAATGAGCACAAACCCAAATTAAGCTTCTGAAAGCACTAGCAACCCCTTTTCGCATTCATCGATTAGGATTTGGTAATAAGAGGTTCGTCTGATTATGCGTAAATGTGAAAGAAATTATCTATAATGGTGATGGTTCAAGATATCATTAATTAATATTACTAATAACTCAGGCATACTATAGCGTATAGATGCATGTTCATCTTGCTAATGCATTGTGTATATCATTCTGAGGGTGCTTCTGTTTTCAAGGAAGAATCAGTATTCTTACTCAAATCTTGACAACCAGACTAAAAATATATCCGAGAAAAGAAATTATATCAAATCGCGAAGGGTTTTCAGCTTATGTCCTAAAATCAAAAATTGCAAATTACTAACTGTTAATAATATGGATACATGTACGTTTACTAGTTTTCAAATATGGGCTAATAAGGAGCAAGAAACATCACCCGTATGTATTCACAGGATTTATTTTGATATTTGAATCCGTCAAACATTTATGCAAGAACGTCATGGGAAGTATATTTGGGTGTGCTCCTCTGACATACATCTCACGTAAATTCCCTGTTTTTCGTAAATTTCTGTATATGCTTATGAGGATTGACGGTATTCTAAACATGAAAAGGTAATTCTTGTATATTTTATACTTGTCAGTTTATGATATCAATCACGTGCGTTTTCTTTTAGACGCATCTTTTATGTAATTCCTGAATCTTCTGAGTAGCCTAGTTTACCTTACCGGTCCATTGGTTGCAATTAACATGCTGCAACAGTCTATCAATTTCGGATATTAAATAAATAGATTAATAAAATCGACAAAGAATTTTGTTTACTTTGTCTGTATCACTCTTTATGCGTCAGTGTAGAAAGAATATCCACAAATCATTTGTGATCTTCTAGTCAGTAAATGCAATGAATTTTGTTTTGTAATTAGCCATTTGCTTTACTAAAATTTAAAAGCCATAAGGAGAATAATAATAGCCACGTCAGTAGTTTTCCAAATGGCTTACCGTGGCAACAATCCAATTTGAATCCATTGATTGAGACGATGTGTAGGGAGATGCGGATGCGGCTGGCGGCAGCCGATTGATCAGCGGAGAATTTATCAGCATCGCTTCTTCACTTTGCTCGTAACTTTTAAGAGAATCGAACACCGTAGACCTAGGCGCTAGATTGGATTCCAAATGATTCACTTTGTCCGAGGGCAAGAAAACCTGCTCCAAGCCATTCGAAAGGTTGTTTGTTACCAAGAAACTGGTTGGGTACACTTTTCCGTCGAATGATTCCGTGAAGTTATTTCCAGAAATCACTTGAAAATTGCGGTCGTCGTAATTAATTGCTTGGTCTAGGTAAGAGTTCCCTTGACGAAGATTAAACATCCGATCTGCTTTTTCTGCCGAAGGGGATCCTTTCTTCCAAAAACTTGCTTCATTGGAACGACTCTTATTAGTACAGCAGGGTTTCATTATGCATAAGATTGCGCCAATAAGGACTGCAGCTAAGAGTGCCGACAAACCAGCTAATCCGATCACGATCAAAAAACTTTGAGCATCGACCGGCTCGCCAGACTTCTTGGATACTGCCCTAACCTCCGCAAATTGGTCTGCAAATAACCAAGGTCCTCTAGCTGGGACATCCTCGACGATAATGTGAACGAGCTGGCAAAAATCAACAAGTTCACAATTTTTATATAAAACATCAACCTAAGAAATTCACAAATACTGATACAGAATCTCTATGTAGAGAATGACGAATGGAACAAGAAAAGACTCTACCAGCATTTATGAGATACAGTAACTGACTGTTGACGAAAACATCACGGTATCGTGTACGCAGATGAAAAAGTACGGTTTATGGACAGTTGCGTTCCGCATAACAAAGTTAGAGAGGCATGCAGGATGTGTCAGCATACTTTCAAGATAACCATTTGATTAGTTGTAAGGTCACTACGAACATTGCCATATATTCCACTCCGATTTCTTTATTCCACATTTTATGTGTACACAACATCAGCAAATCATATGAAATTGCACTCAAAGCCAGAATGGTAAATGCGTACTTCAGCTCTAGGAATTATCTTAGGAACTATCATAGGATTATGATAAGTACAACATGCGATCATTTGAGTGAATCTGAATTCCTTTGGTTTGTAATGCGAAAACCTTATCGCTATTCCTTCATTGCAGATGAAATACTGGCACGACTGTTAGTTGCTCATAAATGATATATGGGAGACATCCCACTTGATAATTTTAAGCAACAAACCTTTTAAGATGCAGTCTGCAAATCTGGGTTAAATGGTCCGCGTTGCTTAAAGCTAGATCCAAGAATATTTTCGGCTGTCATATACCGTGTGTTTCAGAATCCATGTCCCATTATGTTCGGTTGTTCGGTGAAAAAGGTGCAGGCCTTAAATTTACACGAGAGCGCACTAAATTGCCAACCGACCAATGGTTGTTGCTGGTCTAACTAAACTTAACCGGCCACAGGAGTGTGGACGACTGCAATGATAGCGCAATGGAAGGCGCGCGGTTCTGTATCCTTGGGTCGTGAACATATAAATTATTCAAACTCTTGACCTTTCACCCGCCTGTCTTAAGCGATAACACCAAATCAGAAGTCTGCTGCCAAACCATGCAAGCGATCCGGAGAAGCGAACACATGCTGCCGCTAAAACATAGCAAATGCACAGCATGAGGGGAGCCGCTCCGCCCCGGGCAGCCTGTGCCAGGGGGCGGCATTTTTATATTCGTTGAATATTCTATACCAAATATAAAGAAAAAGCATCCAGATAAGCTGTAGGTTAAATATTTTATTATTGCTTTGTATGACCAGCAAGAGTAACATGCAAATGTATTCAAAGTGGATCAGCCCTCTCATGATCAACTGAATTCAAATACCCAACAAGAACCACGAGCCCGTGTTTTGACTCAAAAGTCGCGCAACCAAACTTAAACCGCGTGCACCGGAAACCGAAGAGCTTAAAAGTGAGCTGCATCAACAGGTTAACAAGGATGTACATGACGTTCCTAATGAAAAGCGCTTAGTCGAATATGTGCCAATAAACCATGCACAGAAGATGGTGTGGTGGCGCAACGTTGGCAGATTCTCCGTATGCTTAGATCAATTCTTCGGGCTACTTTATCAACAAGCGCGAAAACTGATGCATCATGCGCGGCGGCAGGAGACCGCTTGGTTCTTTTAGTGTTGCACAGGATAACAGATTTGTCAGATTTCTCCACCACGCGGCGCACGTGCCTCAATGTGTAGTTGGTAGCGCTGTATCGACGAGCCGTTTAGGCGGCTTACGATTGGTACTCACCGTGTGCAACACAGCGCACAGCTCACCGCATGGGCTGGGTTGACAGATCGAAAAGTTGTCACACCATTGTTTGTTTCTGAGAATGTGACGGGTAATTTCATTTTAAACAGAACTTATGCTTCACATTTGTTAGCACTTTCCTATAAAGAAATGTCGCAGACCTGCGTCAATTCGCAACCGCAGGTCATAGGGTTATTATTTACCGTTTGGCGGCAGTGGATGGTGCGCCTGCACATTCCACACAAAGGGTAATTGAGTATGATAAGCAAATTTCTGGAGTCCTTAGACCGGTCGGGAAGGAGCAATATAGTGTCCTGCAAGGTTACCGGATTTGAGCCGCCTGGATTTCTTCCTTTGCGAGTTAGTTGAAACACAAAGTTTGTAAAACCAGGCGCACTTGTCTGGCGGAACTGAAACTCAGCATCGTCAAAGAATTTTGTGGGATCCCGGTGTACACTTTGCAGAAAGTGATAGCTAATAGCATCCGGCAAAAGCTGCTCTGCAGGCCAACAGACCGTGGTTATTTTGTACATCTATTGCGTTGATTTTTATGCTCTTGTAATCTACTTCATGTAACTATACTTATGTTGCATCTAAGCAGTGCTCACCTTATAGCTGATTTTAAACTAGTTAGTCATACATGAATCCTGTTGTCGATGTGCGCTTGCCGTGGTTTAGCAACCGCTGGTGTAGATGTGTGTGTTTCACCGGATCGCTTGCATGGTTTGGCAGCAGACTTCTGATTTGGTGTTATCGCTTAAGACAGGCGGATGAAAGGTCAAGAGTTTAACTAATTTATATGTTCATGACCCAAGGATACAGACCCGCGCACCTTCATTGCGCCATCATTGCAGTCGTTCACACCCCTGTGTCCGGTTGAGGTAACTTTAGTTAGACCAGCAACAACCATTGGACGGTTGGCAATTTAGTGCGCTCTCGTGTAAATCCAAGGCCTGCACTTCGTGCACCGAACAACCGACTATAATGGGACATGATTCTGAAACATCATATAAAATTAGGTATGTGAGCACTTTGGACTTTCTGCTGTAGCCGAAGCACCCAAGTCAAGCTGTTTGTTTGCGCATTCAAATTAAACATGACAACCACACTGTATAAGTGGAAGCCTCGCATAAACAACACTGCCCGTAAACTAGGGCATTGTTAAATTGTAGCAATGTAAGTTTAAGGAGATGTGACAAATTCAGTCAATTATCTCCCATGGTGACACCAATCAATGGCATCTGAATTAATAGGACTTGTCTCTGTAAACTTCGACGTCCTACTCCTTAACTGCCATCAAAAATAACAAGATTACAGAGCGTGAGGCAAACTGTACAGAATATAATTTGTCCAACTGTAGCACAGTTGACAAGTGGGATATGCAAGTTTAAAAACGAAAGCTTACAGATTTCCAACTCGTACAAGGTAAAATCTGAGCTAAATGAACAGGAAAGAAATGATGAGGAATAAGTATTCGTAAACCTATTTAAGTAACATTAAGCTCAAAAATAATGTTATTCATTGTTTTTTAATTGCTGTTTATCAGATCACGTTTTATTAAAAAGTCTTGAATTATAATTTGTGCAACCTAATATTTCATGTAACCCCCTACTTACATCGGTCTGTTGTAAAAAGCCTAAAAGTATAAGTGGTGTGTATATGGTATTGTTGAAATGTTACGAAGGAAAATCCAAACAGGGATTGTTGCTTAACTTACCTGTTGAGCTCTCTGGCTTGGCCGTCCACTGTCCTCAACAATGAGGACGAAGGGATACACACCGATTTCACGCCTGTGCAAACTACGTGTTAGCATCAGGCGTCCACTTTTTGGTTCCATAACGAATGCATCCCTTAAAACAGATATTGTCGCATCTCTAGAACTCTCTCCCTGTTGTGGCATGATTGTGTAATGTAGCTGCGCGTTGAGACCTTCATCAATGTCTTCAGCCTCCGCAATTAACACGCAGTAACCAGGTACTTCATTTATGGATACAGAAACATTCGTATCCTCTTGTAGTCCGCTCCGGTCCACATCTGTCCTGTTAGTTTCATCTGAAATTTAATGCAATTTGCTATCTCGTATGCAAACAACTATTCGTTATATACTTTATCGTAAATATCTTCCATACTTGGAATTAGTGCCAAATTTTCAAGCTGGTTTAACCGCAGGTGATTAGTCGCGGCCTCATTTTCAGACGTCAGGCCAAATGTAAATTAACAAATACTGCGTGGTTTTTAGTGTAATAAGCGGACGAGAGAATACGTCCTAATGATAACGGTTGCAGTGTTTTGTGCAGGCGCTAGATTTCTGCCAGGTCTGATTTAATCTATGAACCGAACATATGTTTTATTTCACATAAAATCAACATTGAGGGGCCACGAAATAAAATAGCCCATATACTAATTGATAAGCAAAATAATTTTCCTGTAGTTTATAGCTAAAGTGTGTGCAAATTAACCAGTTTACTAGGTAAAAGTGTGACTATAGCTTCAAGATAATACATGTACTGCAGCAAGGAGTTTGTGTGCCAAGATATGAAGGCAAGAACTAATATAAAGGAAGGGTTATTTTAAAACTTGTATAATCTCAGTGCGCACCGCTTCTCGCGCTGAAGCTACGTTTGTTTATTGTGAGCATTGGAACCGTAACTGAAGTACTTAGATGTTGGGTGTAACCCGGGCAAAACATTATAATTCATGACTGGTCTCAAACTTCGTAGCTTTTATTAAACATATATAGGGGAAGGGGAATCTAATTCGGAATGTCTGTCGAAACAGTGCTGGCTTGGAATTAGAGGTAACATCTACCATCCCAGCGATAAGTTTTCGAGTGCATCTTTACTACATTCATCTGAAGAGGGAAGTGCATACAAAATTAGTTGTGGAGTTCATTGCTTATTGGCATGCAACAATAAATATCCGTGAGATGTGAATGAAATCCGGTGAAAACTAAGCATTTGAAGTATTTCCAATGTAACATCATCACAACAGCTAGACGTGTTGATCACTGTATTAATGATGGTTTTCGCGAAAGTAAAATCAGCATGTTTGGGCTGCCGTCGGTTGCTGGAACGTTAAGGAGTACTTATATCGCATACCGCCTTTCAGCTTTCACTATAGACCGGAAAGTATTATTTACTGAGGAGATATTCACATGTGCATCGTTTTATTTGCTCCATGGGCTGTTCTTAAAGTTGCCGAAATTTTGTGCATTTTTAAGTCGGGAATTTTGCATTTATTGTCTCTAAACACTGCATTTTTCCAACTACTCGTTTTATGCTTAGAACATAGAAAAACGGTGAGAACCCAAGGTGCAAGCAAATTCTTTTGTGACAAACATGACGAATATTAAATGCATTCTTTCCGGCAAACGAGACATCCAGGCATTTTTGTCACTTCGGTTGGAGGTTGCATGGCGCGTTTTTCCTTCTGTATCTAGTAGATGTGTGGTGTGCACTGCTTATGCGTTCATTCATCGTGCGCAGACACTTGAGTTATCAAATTGTTCCTTTCCTTTGGGTAGTTATTACGGTCTGGTGTTGGCCGGTTTTTGTTTTGCATCTTTGAACCAAACTAATTTATAAATGCCTTTACTCCACCACAAAAGCTGTTGTGTTTAAAGCATGAAGAGTTTATTGTTGAATATTCACGCTTTAATCAGCTGCACATTAGCCTCGGCACCAATTACTAACGATTTCGTCGGGTACCAATCGTTCGGTATTTTGGAACTTCTGCAATGTACTTTGATTGCAACATTACATCCACAATGATACGACTGCTTAAAATGTGGCAGACTTCAGCCATAACGATCAGTTTGGCTGTTTATTATGCTAGGAGATTTCCTACTACTTGAAACGAACACTGTATGCCACAAATAAAGTGGTCCTTTTTTAACCCACTAGCTAAAGAAAGGCGTAGTTTTCAATATGTTTGTCTTCAACCATCAATCCCATGAGTTAACTTCACCTGCTACTCTCCCTACATAACGCTTCTAGACAGTATCATTAATGTGGTTTTGACAGCCAAAACACTGGAGCGATCCACTTCGGATACACTTACGGTTGGCTTACTTTTTGGGCTTGGGTGTCTCATTCCAGTCACCAAGCTCTGACAAGGAAATCAAAATGAAGAAACGTGAATCACCTATTTAATACTCAACAAAATAGCCAACTTCCCAAAGCGCAGGATCACCCTGACTTATTCCTGTATGCACCATCGTATACAACCCCCACGAACGAAGCTCAGTCGATATCAGAGGCACAGAGAAATAGGGGAGATAGTTAAATTCAATTTTCTGTCCCAGCCCTAGATGTAGCTGACTTAATATCGAATGAATAAAGACACCGATCCCTTATTACCATCCACTTGCATTATTGGCTTGAAATAAATCAGCAGATTGAAGATACGTTGTTGCTGGTTAGCCTAGCTTAAACACCATGGATTTATGTAAACGTTAAGTTTAAACCTACAGAAGTAGGTATCTTTGAACCGTGCTTTCAAAGGAGCACTTTACTTGTGTTATGTAGATTAATATCCTAAATATACACGGCCTATATATATCCATGTCCCAAGGCAGAATGTCCAAACATACTCCTGTAATCGTAGACTAGATTCGAAATGCGTGATATCTGTGCGTCTGTACTCCGGTCCTGATGATCTAAACCTGAGCATTAAGAATTCGTGAAAATACAAGCACACCTGTTTTGCAGCTTACTCTTCCGGTAATTTTGCTAGAATTCGTTTGTAAGTATTTTGGACGAGATTACTGTGGATATAGTAGATCATATACAATTACCTTGCATGAACATATGGATGTGCCTGGAATTACTGGATAAAACCTATTTTGAATTTATGTGTAACTGCACTCTTGAATTGAATCAGCCAACGAAAGCTTGGCATAGGGTCATGAGCAACCAAATTTTAACATAAAACTTACCAATTATTCTGCCCCGTATATCTTTGAATCGTGGAGGGTTATCATTCACGTCGAGTATGCGTACGCATATCGTATCCGCACTAGAGAGTGACCTGGTTGGCGAGCCGTCTTTTAGCACAACTTCGAAGCAGTAGTAAGACTCAAGAAGAAAAGTAGAAACATGAAATTCCCATTAAAATTCTAAACCAAAAATTCCAATGGCATAAATTTTTAGTTGACAAAAGCAGTCTGCGAAAACTCTTCAATCAAAGTAATGCAACATTTTAAACATCAAATACTTGGTTATATGAAATGGGTAGCTAACCGATCAAAGGCTAAGCAGTGCACGTCGCCCTACCGTGGTAATTTCAGATTCATAACCAGCTGCTTCTGTACTCAAAACAGTGGATTTTTCATACTGTGACAACGGCTATCAGTAGTCTGAGATTGTGAGGCCCCTGACTGTGCGTCAGGATGTGAATAACTTACCGGGATTGACCAGGTTACCGGTGTTTATTTACTGCCCAGTTACTGACGAGACGGCTCGGTATCTTAATCCACCCTATTGCGCCGTCACCGATAATATACAGCTGCATAACTACTTGCGTAATTGTTTGTTAATGCTGGCAACTAAACATTGGTCAGTGAGCCCGACACGTCAGTCTCCTCAGCAACAGGTGCATTTGTATAAGCAATGGGACATGTACTGCCTCCTTATCAGTCTCTTGACGGAATGCGTAAGCATACGTCATGTTGATGTGAACAACCGGTCAGCTGCGTTCTAGGTCGTTTCACTGAAGTACTAATAAAGCTCGCGGTGATTTTTATATTGTATGCACCTTTGAATGCAGTTCGATAAATGTATGCTTTTTTCTAATCTTAGTGCTCGAACTGGCCGGGTTATATTGATATGGCGGTTTGTAAAAGTTAACACATAAACTTTTGATTGTATCAACTTGTACAGGATTTCATGCGCTGCATGGAATCCGTCCAATATTCAAAGCAAATGGGGCTAGATAAACCAGCAGAATTTTTAAACTTCTTTTAACATCGCCTTCCATTTGCTGGTTGCAGGTAATGCAAAGATGAATAAATGGAACGGACGGTTAAATTCAATTAGCATACAGGTAACAAATTGCCTTAACAACATGTATTTGCGTGTTTTCATCATACAGACTGATGCAATCGTTATTTTCTGTCCAGTTATTTATGAACAAATATATGAATGTAACTGAATAGTTGAGGCAACACTACACTACACTACTTGATAAACAAACGGTTCCTTCAGGTTGATAATCGGTCTTGGATACAACGAATGTAACTGGTGATCAGTGCATTTGTTTTGTCTAGTATCTAAGACCCCGTTTGTCAATAATAAACTGATAATTTTACCGTGCGCTCGCATGTAGAGATATTATACAGCTTGATATGTATACGTTAAAATTCTCTAGAAATTGAGGAAAAAACTGAGTCTTAATCCGAATATGTTACAGCTTAGATAGCGACAGTCCATTATAGAGTACATTTGGGTCTACGTTCTGGCAAATTTTCTTGATTTTCAGTTCCTTACTCAGGAGAATACTAAGTGATTCAGTCTAAGATCACTAAACTGTAGGTCAGTAATCATACTCTGACCCCACTTTCTAAAAAATTGATTACGCAAAATTCTTCCACTACTTTATACCTTACTATAAGCTTAATTGCGACATTTGTAGAACAAAAGTAGTGAAAAATTTTGTCTGTTTACCGCACTGCGACTTATGACAAACACGAATATGAGAGCGCAAGTTTGAAGAAATTTGAAAATGAAGCAAAGGAAACCTAGTTGTTACTACTTCTTTTCAATAATACAGTGAAATTAAAAGCCTTAAAAATTGCTACATATATGATACCCACTCAGTGTATCACCAAAAAGCTGCTAACGTGCTAACTTTCTTTAGTTGGTTATTAATTTATATTCATTTTTTCATCTACAAATCACCCCATATAGTCAATTTTAACTGCTTGCATATGTAAACTAGTATACACTATAAGAACTCACTTGATTTTCCCTATCCATACTCTTCGATGTGTACAGACTACCATTTTTCTCCAAACGAATGGGAATTTCTGCTTGCCGTTTTAGAGTTTGGTTACCACCCTGGATGGAATGCCCTTGTGTTACGTCTACCTGTTTTCCGGACAGAGTAAACTCAGCATCCCGATTGACGCCCTCGTCCAGATCGACGTATTGCAAATCCCCTATCCATTTGTTATTTTCACTGTTCTCTTCTACAGCAAACTGTCTTGGTCCTCGAAACTCCGGGGCGTTATCATTCACATCAGTTATCTTAATCTCAACATGAGCTGTGGCGGTGAATCGTTTTCCAGTGAACTGAACTAAGGGGTCTGCTCCAACATTTTTGCTGCTACTGGATGCCCCGCCGTCAACCGCTAAAACCGTTAGCTGTATAAACAATAGGTATAAACAAAGCTGATGAGTTAAAGCTACAAAATGTACAATATTATATAAATTAGAATAGGATAATCATAACTTCACATTATAGATAATTTAAAACTCAAATTATATATATATATATATATATATATATGTATGTATGTATTGTTTATTTCCCAACTTATTTATAAAGCAAAGGAAAAACGAAAAATTGAAATTAAATTTGGTTGGATAATTTATGTTCAATTTAACTCAACATATATACCTGAAAAAGGGATATGGATAACCTCTATAAATGCTATTATACGTCCCAGTATATCGTCAAGCAATCAGTTATGCGTAAACCTCATGAGGTCTTATGAGAGATGCAATATGTATGACTTAAGCCTAATGTCCAATGCCTCATATTCTGCTAACAGTATATCAATACAAAGTCAGAATATAATCTGCCGTGCTCAATTTACCCCATATACATTGCTCATAGGCGTGCATTATTATACTTAAATCTGGTGGGTCAAAACAAGTGTTCCTTAAATCCAGGTTTTTGCTAATATTGCATAAAAAATGATGTAGTCACATTCCTGCATTTTCTTCTTCATGAGTAAGAGGGCTTCGCCATAGCAACCAAGCTTATGTAGTGCAATGAAATTACTTCACTGAGGCTAATTGCAGTTTCAACAGCCTGGGTGAATTAAGCAAATGTCTAGGTGGGAGCAGGAAACTGCCAGGGTTTTTTACAGAAAAAACGCCAAAAGAACACAGCTTCAGGCAATATACCCCTGTATAAAAATATTATTACTAGTACATGGTGACTAAACTAAAACCGATAGCACTGAGGCAGAGGCAACGTTATTTGTATTATTTTAACGCCTTAAACGGTGTGGATCAATATGTTCTCCTCAAAATACCAGTGGCTAATTATTACCGTTTCTATGGTAACACCGCTCTACTAAATTCATCTTCCTCAACAAAAAATGGGCAGTTTCAGCCTCATCGTCTACCACAAAGTTAGTCAAATGTTGAGAACAACGGAGTGTAAAGAAGTTGTGAGGTCGATATTGGTGTAGGTATGATGCTATCTGCAAAAATTGATATGATATATTAGCACCTATATATAACATTCACATAGAACAGGAAAATTCAGGCCATGAACAATAGGTTTTTAAGATTAACAGCTTGGAAAATGCGTGACTGAAATTCGTGGAATAAATCATGGCTAATGCGGGCCAATTATAAACTTTTCCGTGTTTTCCGGCGGCTAATTTAATTATTTGCTTCGATTTGCGCAAAACTCAAAAAGTTGGCTTTTGTGTATAAAAGCTATGGAACAAATTAGTAAATTTTAGGTATTGTTCCAGCCGTACTCACTAATTATATTCTGTTATTTGTTTTTCTTTATAAGTTGTTCCTTTTTCCTTCAAAGCAGTCGCATTAGTACGTATTATACATGGAAATATTTACGCCTATTTAGTCCTCTTCGTTTTCTTTCACCAGAAGCTACTGTTGGTTATTTGTTTACTAATCTAATCTTTAATAAGAGCCTTCACTTAAACTAATGCACCTGCTCTGCAATGCAACCAAAGTATATGTCAGCTACTAATAAACGCCTTATTGAAATCAACTCACATTTGTATAAGTTTACTCGAAATTTGCCTTTCGTTGTTTTTTGGCTACTACATTAGCATCAACTACTGTTGCTAGGGTTCAAAAAGCCTCCTTTATGTATACACTTTCCGTATCCTAAAATACCTGGTACTCTTAGCGGGAATTTGCTATTTGCTATGCTCTTAATTCGTACTCTAAATTTAATATTGAGGCCAGGTTTACAAAACGCCGTAAGCCGAATTTCTCAGCATTTGTTCTGCCTTTCTGTTGCTCTACAATCCAATGAACCTCACAATTTTTAATTAACCAAATACGTGTTTGGTAAAATAAAAAAATTTGCTTCTTACGCTCAGCAGAAAATATTTTCAATCTGCTAGATCCGTTGACTACTTTGATGGCAGCGCTAAATCAATTTTTATGAACCCCTTTAACTGACAAATAAAATAAGCTAGTACTTTCATCAACGTTGAATCAGCGGAGGTTTTCTACATAATATAGTGCTAAAAGTGTGCAATCCTCTTCAACATACCGGACAAAATTTTGGAAGCTTTGGTAAAAAAAATATTCTGATCAAAACTGCTAATATAAGGAACACCCAGGAATAAGAGACTGTGACTTCGATAAATATATTCAGCGCCGCAACTGTCCTTTTCCTTTCAATTTACTAACACACTTATAGACCATGCCGTTGGAAATATTACTTTCAAAGCACTTAAGATCGCGAGAGATAAAATGCCACTTCAAAGTGATACTTTTTGGAGCCGGGGCCAATTTGTCTCTAAATGGAGAACAAATTTCGAAGCATGGTCGATTGTATGCTATCCCTACTTACACTGATAGTTCAGCCGAGATATGTGCCAGCGTAAAATAAACAAGCAGCGCTTAAAATAGGGGAATTCATTGCACCGTAAATTATGTTGGGGCTACTCTTTATCCTGCTCTGTGCTCTCAGGATTGTCGCGGTCTCTGGAGATTTTTAAACACCTTTGTGTACAAAGTTCTCATAAGCGCATTGAGAACGTAGATGTTCACAAACTCCAAGCTGAATTTTGTTCTTCTTTGCCCCGCTTCACCAACACAGGTCAAGTAGTCAACTTGACAGGTTTAATGTTTGCACTGAACTCAAAAATTTATAAATAAGCTTATTGTCACCGATGCATTTTCACCGCTTGTCCTAAAGTACTGTACAGAGTTTCTTGCGGAAGCGTTGACCGCAATTTTCAACCGATATCATATGGAGGGTACCAGCCGTAACAGTTGGAGACCTGTTATGATCAAACTTTTTCAAAGAAGGGCTCTCAAAGGCATTGTTCTATAGCATGGACATTGGTGAAGTTGAACGACATCGAAAAACTGCTTGCTCCTCCGCGTTTCACACGTACCAACAAAAGTAATATATATAGTTTGCTTATAAATATGGCCGCTCCACACTAGGTGCGGTGTCCTATCTTGTGCATTTTGTAGCACCAGCACTGCATGAAAAAAGCGGGGCAGCTCGCCTCATGTTTCTCGACTATACAGATGATTTTCTTAGCGTTGACAAATCATTCCTGCTCAACCAGTTATCTGCAATTGGGGTTCCAACAAGTGTTTGCGGCCTGATAAAGAATACTTCGCCTACCGCACTCATTTCACCCAGATTAATGTAGCAAAGTCTCCTGTAATGCTCACTAGTCAAGGTGTTTTACAGGAAGCCATTCTCTCACCCGCTCCATTTTTCTTTTACATTGAGAGCTCCCCATACTACATAAATTATTGAAAGCAATTATGCTGACGATGTCGTATTGGGATGGGTAAATTTAACCTGTGTGACAACTACTTTTCAAAATGTTCTAGATTAGCTCGTCATTTGGTCCTCATCCCAATCCCTGATTTTGAACCCTTTGAAATATCGTGACTCAACATTCTCGTTGCTCTGAGCTGACAAGCTGAAAGTTGTTTCAGACACCACTTCTCATTTAACAGTTAGGGATCAGTTCATACCTAAGTCGTCAGTATAAATTTATTTGGGTATTTTTGTCAAGAAACTTATATTGGTCTATTTAAGTTACCGAAGTCTTTTATAAGGTTAGACAGTTGTCCATTTATACTCTTCGACTTAAAATAATTTCAGTACCCCGTGATCTGACTACTGGATTTGTCACTGCATGCATACTGTCACTTGGGTTGTATGTTCCCTGTAATCTTACTGCGTAACAAAAAATGGACTGTACATTTATTAGCCGTCTTATAATGCTCATTTTTCTATGCAGTGCATTGTCTAGGGAGTCACTTGTGGATTTTATTGTCAAAAAGCCCCCTAAACGCTTGTAGTAATCTTTCTTGTAATATTCTAAACGACTCTCGTCATCCACTAAAACTCGACCTATCAAAAACCTTATGTATTACCTCTACCCGCTCCAAAGTTTAGATTCCGTTTTCACGTACTGTATCTTACCACAGTTATGTTACTTTATCTGCAGTGCTTGCTTGTCGACCCAACCAATATTATAAGTATAAAGCGAAATTAGTTGCTCCTGTGATAATTGTAGACAGTTTACGCCTTCGAGTTTTTGTAACAGCATTTTCATATTCATCAACATCCGCAGTGATAGTGTAACATGCTGAAAATGTACCCAACCGGTTAAATAAAGCTAAGTTTGACTTTGACGGATTTTTATTTGGATAGTTTCATTTATTCCTCAACCGCATCTCACAACGCGGGATCCAATCATGTTGCCCAAACAAATTTTTCTTTGCTAAACTCTACACATTCGCAGAAAGGATAATGCAAAGACAGCGACTTCGTGACAGTGCATGAAGTCATGTTGTGTAACTCAAGTGCATTCAAGAAATGATGGAGCGCTTGCATTATTCCCTAAAAATCCGATGAATTACTTTGCTTCTTTACATCAGGTTCCACGACCGCCGATCTCGACATTGACTACTTGTACAGACAAGCAACCAAGCAGGAATCTATAAATTCGTGTCATTTTTCACAGCTGACGTAACAACAAGTCCAAATCAAGATATCTTGGAAAATTAACAAACTTCGGCTTCTATATTTGAAGTTGAAAGCAACCTCGACTTTCATACTTTCGAAAGGTCTACAGCTCAAGTGGGAACAACACATGCTGACCATAAACTCAACTCCTGCGTAAAACCAGATAAGACTAATAAGGCTAAAGCCCATATACCCTAGCAAAACTCGGAAACCTCGTTCTCTAAACAACATACTGATCACACCGGATCCAAAGTAACTGAACTAGTGACAGTGAACCAAGAATCTATGTTTACTTAAAAAACGAAAACCACCCAATATTGCCGTATCACAACTAGCAATTGGAATATTTCTAGCCATAATAACGGTTGCCTATACAATAAACGGTTTATTTGCTCAGGATATATGTTCTTCATTTCACATT